TGAAGACTCGACAGACCCTTTTTTTAAAGGGGCAAGGAGCCCGATTGTCAAGGAAACTTGGAATGAGCTTCAGTTGCTCTAACAGTTACATAGTTCCATGCATTTTTCTGTTTTTTTACATAACGATCTTACTGGCTTGAATTTGTTTGGAAAAGAATATTTGTCTTTTTGTTATGATATTATTTGTTATGATATTATGCTATCTTATCTCTGAGGGGCACGGAGGGGAATGGAGAAATACTGTACGTGTGATTCCTGTGGGAAGGCAAGCATCTATAGTCAATCCCTCCCAACCTATCATGGGTCTTTTAATCTTAGTGACCTTTCTGTCTTTAGGGCAGGGATGTGGTAACCCATATCTGAAACCTCCCAAGGCGCAGAGGAATTAGCTTGTAATTTCCCCTTCTTTTTGGTGCCCGTTCCTTAGGGTAGAGGTAGATAAATGCAACTAACTTATTGACCCTTCCCTGGATATTATCTCTTTATGATACCAGACTTTCTAGTATTGTGTACTGTCCCTTATAGACATATTCTCTTTATGATAACAAGATGCCACTTGACAGTCATCCATCATAATAACCTAAGTTTGCACGGGTATGACACACAAGATCATAAAGAGGCTCCTAACCAATCATTATCCTTCCTTTTGACTGTTTTCTTGAACTTAATGTATAAAAACCCAATTTCTTTTGTGTTTGGTGTGCCTCTTTTGACAGAGATAGCCCCTTTACTGCTGCACAACAATAAAGGAAACATCTAAAGGTTTCTTGTGTCTGGCGAGGTTATTGGCAGTTGTCTCTGGGCAAGAACTCTGTTTTGGGTCCAACGCTATGTGCTATCAAGTCCATGTCAAACCTCAGCAATCAGATTGATTTTCTCAAGGATACGGTGTTCCCAGCCTGGTCCTCCTGTAATTGAGTCCATCCCCCTTGACACTGGCTGCCCTCTTCTCTTTCCTTCCACCTTCCTCTTTATTGTAAACTTCTCCAGAGAGCTAGGCCTTCAAACACATTTGTTCAGCCTTCAGCAGAGTCTACTGCTATGTCTCTTGCTGTATTTGTTATCCCATTTTTCAGATGGGATAGCATAAAAAAACCTTTGTGTCTGTTTTGGATTCCCACTCTGGAATTATTGCAATTGAAATCAAAGCAGAGATTTAAAAAGATCCAGTTGCACAACTAAGAATGTGGGAAGCTACCAAATTCTGGGACAGAGGATTGGTTTGTTGTGCCCAGTGACTCTTCGGAAGCTGGTGGGGAGGTTATCTGCGGACTGAGCCAGAAGAGACACGGAGCCACCGAAGGAGGGCTAGGACTTCCACTGGGGCCTGCAGAAGATACCCCCTTTGCTCACCCATCAGGAATGATGATGGCTGGACCACCCCGTTTTGCAGTCGCTCATGATGTTTGGCTCCTGGAGCCAAAAGGGCAGAATGCTGATGTTCCTTTGCTCTCTCTCGATGTACAATTGTCAGTAGCTGCTTCTCGAGTTTATGTAAATTCCTGCTTGTGACATTAGTAAAAGGCCACCTCGTCTTCTGTCCTCTGTCAGCTGCTTTTCCAATTGCCTTTGATTTTTCTCAGCATTGGGGTCTTTTCCAGTTTCTCTCACCTTCACAAATACCTTCGTATTAGTCTGGCAGGACTGCCTCAACATAGTGGTCTGGGGGACTTGCCTTAAGGGGGCTATTCAAAAACTAAACGGGATATTTGGGGTGATGGTGGTCAGCATCTTAACTTAACGAGACCAGACTTGGTTACTGAATTGGCTCCATCTTCAAGCAGAGCTGCATTAGTGGCCCCCTGTCCCCCGGAGCGGTTTTTGCCTTTTTATTCCAAAGGGTTGCACAACTGCTCCAAAACCACCAACTTGCTTTTGCTCAGAAGAGAGAATATGTAGAATTGTCGGGTGGGCTTGCATCAATCCCCTGTAGTAAGTCTGACAGCTGAACTTTATTTCTTTGACCCACACAAAATTGGTATTCCATGAGAAACAAGCTGCTTAAAGTTACCAGTTCCTTGAGTGAAACTTTGAAAAAGAGTTTAATGGGTAAAAAGGACAGCCCTGAAGTTTATGCTGCACCTAAAATTAAGCAGAGTTATGTTTCCAGGATATTTTGCCATTAAAGAAAAAGTAATTGGTTTGGGATAAGGATTTTATTGTTTACTGCTTTTATTGTTGTGTACGTTGCTTTATTCTTGGGTTGTAAGCTGCCAAGCGTTTTAAGATGGGGGGGGTACAAAGATTTTAAATAGGTAAAACAGGATGGAGAAATGCCAGAGAGCCCCCACACCTTTTGCACGGTGTCACATAGCGATCTTCCACGTTTAAGAGAGGATCCCTGACCTAACGGGACCCAAATCTTTCTTAATACACAGGGCACTGTCAGAGATTATACAAGGAGCCCATCTGTCCATAAATGGTAGGGAAAAAATAAGAAACTTCTACTTGAAAGTAATGGTGTCACTTTCTTAGCCTTATTATGGGAATGCTGTGGACATAATATATCTGGACATAATACATCAGCAAAGCTTTAGACAAAATACCCGAGGACACTGTGATCTGCAAGCGAGGCTGGGATGGCAGGAAGGTGAATCCACAGCAGGCTTGAAAAGTAGTCAGCGCTCGCCAAGGGCATGAAACGGGCACGAGGTATCAAATGCCGCGGGCTGTGGTCCTGGATCCTCTGCTCTTCAACAGGGTCGAGGGTAACTTGGATTTTACGATGCTGTTTCAGCTCTAGATATTCTGAACAGAAATTTCCGTCCTGCAGTTACTGTGTCCAGCATTACACGCTCACCATGCTGCTCCCTGCAGAAAAGGAATAAGCGAGCCAAAGACTATAGAGGTATGAGATAAGAAAGGGAAATACTGTAATAGCCAATTCTAATTTACACCAACACCAGCTCTCCACACCTTCTATCCTGGCTTCTACCATGTCCACATTCCACTTCATACATTGCCGTTTGCTCTCCTCTTGAGGGCCTCATCAGTTCCATCCAACCACTTGATCTTCCCCTTCCTCTCGACTCTTTTACTCTTCAGATACTAATCTTGAGATGCGATCCTCATTCATTCATTTGCTCTCCACGACCAGCCTCTCGTGTTCAACCCACGTTCATTCCTGCCCCTTCATTCTTGACATTACCTCTTCTTGTTTTCCCATGGACACACGCATTCTCACACTTTTAAAGTACCTCGTTCAAGCTGCATCCAGCTTACCTTCCTCCTGACATACCAGCTCACGCTAACAGTGTTAATGGACGAAAGCATGGATGAACAGCCGTTTTCACTTCTTTCAACAGGCTAGCGACCACTTTTCTATCTATTTGCATGCCTTAAAATTTCTCCATCCATTTCCCCATCTTCAGTAAACATTCTACCAAGAGGCACAAATTCCTGTACTTGCTCTGTCTTTCCACTGTTTGTGCAGAATTGTTCACCTTCTCTAACACAACTACTTTGGCCTTTAATGCATTACGTTTCAGAACAGTATTTCTCATAGCATCATTCCAACTAACGTTTGCTACCAATATCTTGAGGGCTCTGGGGAGGGAGGATGCACCGCTTCATGGGTAAATTCGTATTATTGTCCCCCCTCACATTCCAAGATGCCAACTTTCACGCTGACCTTGCCACCAGATGGGCCCACAGATACCGACCTCCACTGCCCATCGTAACACCTTTTAATGCGACTGAGAAGCTCCAGATGAGATTACCTGCCTCAGTCGCTCCTGCGGCTGCCGCCGCTGCTGCTAAAGACGGTCCTGGGCAGTTTGGGTGCTTTGGCCGGTGGCCATAACCACAACCGAGGCCCAGTTGAACTGCAACCTCTCCTGCAGAGGCCGGGAGCCCTCATCTGGGAGTGCCTCCAAGCCACCCCCACCCACCGCCACAGGCTAGGAGCCACGTGCCCTGATAGCCCTCTGGGGACAGAATGCTCTGCAGGACTGAATCCTGGGGGGACTTCAGGGCCGCGAGGGATTAGGGGCTCCTTCACTAACGGTGCGCCTGCACTGCCCGGCGACCTTGGCTGATCTTGCACCCACGCTTGCTGCGGTCAGCAGGGTCAGCACTCAGAGGAGAAGCGGGGGGGCCACCATGCCATATTCTTAACTTGTTACGTACAACTGATG